GATAATGTATGGACACTATAGGGAGAAGTTACATGTTAATCACCTCTAGGAGTTACAGGGTTAAGACTGCACTCAAGCCAGGGGACCCATCCCACAGGAGCCTGTCCAAGTTTTTGAAGCACCAAGTGTCAAGGAGCATTGCTTCTCCCCTTGGATGGGTGGTAGTTCATTTCAGCATGTACACTGTACAGATACATCACAATTCTAATGTGATAGGTACAGCAATCTCTCTCCTTGTCTTTGACCATGATAATCTTGCACATGCTTGCACCATGTGCATATATATATGTGTTTGCATTAGATATAGTTTACCCAAGGGCAATAATATTACTAAAATACTGGCCAAGTAATTCACAATTAACTTGAAACTAATTAATTCCTTTAATGTAGTCTTAATGGCTTTGTGCTTAACTTTCAGTTCAGCCTCAAAAATTACAGGTCCAGGTTCTATACAAAAACATTTACCTTAGTCCCAAAAAATACATTTCTTAGCTTTGCAATCTTTCAGAGTCAAATTGCTATTTTGAAAATACTCTGACTAGTCCATCATAGTTTCGATTTTTATTTTGCATTCTTAACATTATACAACAGCCTGGTGATTGCTTAGCATTCCACTTTCGAATTCTTCATGGTGCAAAGCAGAGCACAGACCCAGATGGAAGAAAAGTGGTTGCAATGCGCTGGCTTGGAGAAGATGCAACATTTGCAGATAGGCCATGGGAACCTTCACCCAATTACAATGGAGGATTAAAACCTGGTGATCACTTTTATAAAAGCGAATCTTTTCCAGTTGTTTGGAGATCAGAAAAACAAATTGGTAATTAAAAAGAAACTGTCATGGTTTTCTGGGGGATCAAGAGTAAACAGTGTTGGTAACAGAAAATATCCTTGTCGTTTAACTCTAAGACCCCCATGAGAGAGCAGCATCTTACTTTTCCTTACAATATTACCCCTTAATCAAACTTTGAGGTCACAAAAAAAAAAGGAAATGATCACCAATGAAAGAAGCTCTTGATCGTTAAACAAATTCTCCTTGTCAGCACCTCTGGAAATGTATAGAGAACAGTATGGAGAATCTGCATGCTGATATTAGGGTGTAAAGAGTTAAAAGGTGTGTTAGTGTAGTTTTTCTTTATGTTGTAGATAATAGTAAATTGGCTAACTAGCTTACTCAAATAAAGCTTGGTAGTTAACTTAAAAGTGTGTTTTACTCAGTGTCATGTCTTTGTCTGCGTTGTCTGGACCTTGTATCCTCTCTGTCTCTTTGCCTTGCGGTGGTTGTCCTTGATATGTCTCCATCTGAAGAATCATGTCGACGTCTGGAATATTTATCTCTTTTCTCAAATGAATCACTAATTGAGGATGATGAATCATGTCTCACACGCTTAGAATTACTTTGATTAACATCACAGTCATGTGTTCTTTTCCTTGATTGTTTAGATTTCTTATCATACTTGTGATTATCTTCTCCACTATTGTGCCTCTGTTTCTTGCTTTTCTTTTCTTCATCACCATGCTTCTTCTTTTGGTGTTTCTTTTCCTTTTTAGATTTCTTGTCTTTCCTCTCCTTCTTCTTCTTTATCTTATCACTGGCATAGTCCTCGTCTCTTCCAATCCTTTGAACTTCTGTGTTTGAATTGCTAGGTGTTGCAGGATTTGCACGCCTTTCCTATATGCACATCAAAAATATTAGGGAAAGTTGGCAGTATGAATAGACAGTTAAATACTCCTAGCAAACAGAACAGGAAAAATTGACTGTCCTTGCCATTGCTTTTAAGGCGCTAGCTCATCTTATTATGGGAGATCTTAATATTCATTTTTAACATTTAAGCGACAGATATTGAAAAATATGGCAGAGAAATGGTCTCCCTATCTCCAGAGCAAAATTGTAAGATTTTTGTTCTAAGCATTACTGATATTTTTAAACAACCTAAGATTAACAGGAAAATAAAATTTGACTAGCCATTAAAATTATAATATAGACCACTTTCATAAATGGCTGCTGTATAAAAATTCTTTTGTTTAAATTTAAATTAGCCCTTCTGGCCTCGCTTGAGATAATGTATTCTTTTGAATTTTGTACTGGAGAACGAGGCCAGTAGGGCAAATTTAAATTTAAACAAAAGAATATTAATCCGGCAGCCATTTATGAAAGTGGTCTATGCGATTGAAGAACTATACCTGTTGTGACCCTGTGGCACCAAGTGTCTCCTTTACAGGTACAGACAGCCCAGCCACCAGAGAAGCTCTTGTGCTGATGAGCAAATAAAACAATATACAAAGGGGTTTAAAAACGTTTTCCATCTGCAGCTGCTGTTGGTGTAATATGTGACTGTACCCTTAGGGGGTTCTGGGGCAAGCTTCCCCACAAAAAAAAATTTAAATCAAGGATCTTGGAAATGTAACATCCAGTATCTGGGCATCAAAAGGAATGCTGCTCTCAGGAATCTATTCTTGACTCATCTGTAGTTTACCATCCTTCCTGACTTGTCAGAATGCTCTGTTTGTGGATAAACCTTGGAAATTTGAAAATCAAAGGTGAAAGCCCATGGAGGGGTTTTAGTGATGTTTTCAGCAGGAGTGCAACTGGTTTTCACAGGCAGGCAAAACTTTCTGAACTGAACTTCTTTATAGGGTAAATTTTCCTCTAGATGCTCAAACCAGGTGGGCAAATCCATCCTCATAGCCAGTCAATTTACCTAGTGCCTGGCCCTCAATGAAACACCCACCTGAACCTAGTTCTCCCATGTTCCCAACCCCTGAAGCAAGAGAGAGCAGGAAAATGAGAGACCCTGGGAACAAGGTTGCACCTGCCCATGGGTAAGCAAGACAAGGGCAAAGAGATAATGGCAATTGGTCCTGGAAGGTGGAACTTCACTGCAGGTAACCTACTTTTATTGTGTTCCCTGCAGCAAGTCATGATGTTAAGAATGGTTTCTTTTTATGGAAGAAGAGTTCTTTTCATACATGGAGCTATGTTTTTAGTTGGTTATTAAGTTGTTTTCAATTTGTATCATCTGAGCTCAAAGGAGCAAGAGATAAAGGAAGTGGTCAACATATATGATAACTATTATACCAGGTAAAAACAATTTCTATTATCAAAGATAACAATTGTACAAAGAATACTTTCTTTGTTGACTTAACATTACCTTCCAAACCCCATGCCTTGCACCCTTTCGATGTCCATTGAGTCACGTTCCACTTGACCCTTGCGACAAACTTCAGCCAATTCCTGGTGAAACAACTTAAGTATTTAACTGCCTTCCTGAGAAGAAGTGTCAGTTGACATATTCTTAACTCTCCTGGGTAACGAGAGTCACTGTGTGAGTAGAGTTGTGCCAAAAGATCACAACACACTGACCACGGGCCTCTTAATTTAAATTGACCAACCTTTCCACAGTTTTTTTTTTTTTTTGAGTACTAAATGTAGGAACTAAAATTCATAATTCCACTTGAGGAAAGATGTATTGTTTCACTACGACTCCATGCCACATTTTACTGTACATGAACAATGTAACATTAACAACTACAGAATATTTAGATCTTAGTAACCTGTTTTGAAACACCACTTGCTACTTTCTTGGTTGGTTCTCTTCCTCTGAGGAGAAAAAAAAAGATGCATTCCATTTTAATTACTGTTGGTCTTTTAGAAGCAACAAATTGAATCAAAGAATACATAGCAAGTAATGTGGCCTGTCTGATTGCCGTATTTGTGGTAGAAAACTATATAGTATTAGCATTATATAGTATTATACCATTAAATAATTATTCCACCCCTGCTCAGCTTAATACCATATTATATCTAACATGTGCTGCATCAATATATTGCAGCAAGGGCTGAGGGCATCAGACTGGGCATACCAAAAATCAACATATTGAATTATCATTCTTACCAAATGTATTTAAAGCATTATTTTGATAAAAATAATAATTAAACAAGCAATTATATGTTGTCTCACAGTGCTATTGCAAGGGCCTCAGCTTCCATTCTCTTAACTGCATCTTTTTCCTAAGGATTTATAATACAAAGTCAGAAAACCCTAGCATTATATATATCTTATTAACCAAGTGCAAGGGCCGTACTGGGAGAATATCGGCCCGAGGTCTTGACAGTACAGACCGAGCGCAGCAAGGTCCGTACAAAAAAGACCGAGGGCTGATACTCTTCCAGTACAGTCCCGAGCAAGCTTGGTTAATAAGAGATTTATTATACGACTGAAGTTCAAAGGGACACAAGTGCGGTATCATTCGGGACCATTCGGGACAGTGCCTGGTCCAATACGTAGAGAATATTGGACCGGCAATAGAGCATTTTGATTGGTTGATTTTAGTTATTGGTCCTTTGACTGCCCGAGTCGTGTAATAATAAAGCTTATTTTGACTGTTAAGTGGATGTCACATTAACCATTAACCCATAAGAGTGTCTGACGTCTAATTTAACCTTACGATTTCATCCTTGAATCAAATGTGTAGGTCAAAAAATAGACTAAGTAAATGATCACCAACTAAAGAAGCTCTTTTTTGTTAGACAAATTATCCTTGTCAGCATCTTAGGGAATATATCTATTAGAGGACAGTATGGAGAATATGCGTTCTGATGTTAGAATGTAACAATTGTAATAATATTGACTTTATTGGATTACACAATTACTGGTAAAATCAGTATTTCTCATTGTGGTCCTCAAGATCACGAGAAATACATTGTAGATATGTAAAGGGTTAATTAGACACTTAGCCCCATTCCCTTCCACCTATGTGGGTGAAATTCAGTACAATTATGAAATATTTGACTGAAATAGTTTCTTTTTCTTTTTAAACCTTCACCAACATAACCAATGCAACATAATTCTGTATAACTGTTAATTTTTGCTTAGCAGCTTATCATTGAATCAATTGTCTTTGTGCCCATTTTAGTGTTAACATTAACTGGTTCATTACCTCTTGCTTTGACAATCTCGAGTTCCCTTTACCACTTTTTGTGTACCTGGAAAATTTGTCATGAATCACTGTTTAAGTCATGAAATAATAACAGAATACAGAACTTTATTTTACGTGGCACTCCACTTAGCTAAAAGCTACTTTACAGGAAGCCCACAAATAAACATAAAAAATCGCAAAACAAAAGAAACAAAATTTAGCTAACACTCTAAAAATTCTAAAAATAACAATATAATTATAATTTATTTAAGGTCAATAATGTGGGAAGTGGTTGCCTTATCTTCCAAGCCAGTGGCTCATGTTAAAAACACTCTACAATTAAATTTTAGAGAAATATGTACTTGATAAACAAAAAAATTAATAAAAAAAGAACTATAGATATAAGCATATCTATCTACATTAAAAGGACTATTTACCTAAAAAAACTAAAACTTAAAAAGTTTGTCCATTAAAAAAAAAACCTAATCTATAAAGAACAGGAGTGGCATGCACAACCTTTAAATGCTAAATTTTTTAAGCATTTCCAACACATGATTGGTTATTTTAATAACCATTTCAAAGTTTCATATTTATGCAGTACACTGTATGCAAACCTGTTCAAGTGGAATATTCTCCAAGGTTTCTAGGTACATAATGCTAGGTCACATGCTGCTTACTTAGTCTAAATAAAATTAGTTTCATCTTATTTGTGGTATTCTGACATCTTAACTGATGACTTCAATAGCAGGTGACAATTTTGCAAGTAATCATGAGATTCACTGGCAAATGATTCTTAAAGGCAACTCTGTTATGGTAACTGTACCACCAACCCTTTCACCTGTTTGTCTTGATAATGAACTGTATGACCAGATCTAAAGAGGCTCTATTGGGTTTTTGATGGTGTGAAATCTGGACACCAACATAGTGAAAAAAATGTCAAAAAGCAAACAAACATGGTGGCTCAATATGATCACACCATTGTTATCTATAAAGGTGTATAAAACATAATAATACAGTTTTTCTATTGTGTTTCCCTCAATAATACCTATAACATCCATATACCTTCTATGTCTGAAAAAGAGGTACACACATGGAGGCAGAAGAGAAAACACTGGGATAAAGATTGCAAAAAGGCAGCAGATTTGAAAGTTTATGCATGCTTAGATTTTGATCCAGGCAAAGTTCTATTTTTTGACACTATATTTAGTAGGACAAAGAGAGATCTCTCAAGTGAGATTCATCAGGTTTCCTTGGGTACAATTTCCTAACAGTTGGTGGAGCAGATAACATATTTGTGCCCTTTCTATTGCAATTTTATAAAAAAAGAAAAATTCAAATTCAACCACAAACTCTGATGATGTGCTGTGTTCTCATGCAAGAATACACACCTCACACTTGCTTTCTTTCAACTATAATCTTTGTCTTTTCTGGAACTCATATTCTGTAACCAAATGTTACTTGACTTTGCAAATACACTTTTATGAAAGTGGACAATGAGATCATGAGAAATACATCGAAGATAGCAAATTGGATCAATGTTACTATAGGTAGTGTCGGCCGACATGGCGACTGAAATGTCCACCGACATGTCGGTCGACAGTCAGTCGACAGTCGGCCAATAGTTGGAAAATAGTCGGTCGACATGTCGGTCGATATGTCGACCAATATATGTTGGCCGATAGTCGGTCGACATATTGGTAGACAGTCGGTCGTTATTTGACTGACACTTGGTTGACACTTGGCCGATACTTCACTGACACTTAAGTGATGCTTCAATGGCATTTGACCCATTGTCAACCGTATAGATGTGTTTTGTGTTTCCAATTTTTCAATACCGACACTGCAACAATACACAACCACACGAGTGATGTTCAAACTATATTTACCGATAAAGTTCAGACACTTGACCCATAGACTACCGACACTCAGCCGATAGACCACTGACACTTGACCGATATTCCACCAACACTTGACCAATATTCCACCGAGACGCGACACTCCATCTGTCGGTCAACAGTCAGTCGACATATTGACTGACATGTCAACCGACTATCTTCTGACTATCGATCGACTATCAACCGACTATCGACCGACTATCAACTGACTATCGGCCCGCTATTGACCGACTATCGACCGACCCGTCGACCGACTATCGACCAACTGTTGACCGACGGTCGACATGTCGGTTGCCATGTCGGCCGACACTACCTATAGTAAAATTGATCCAGCAAATTTTATTTATCCCCAGCTCTTATCAAAAGTCTACGAGTTTTGGCTGAAAGTGATATAGGCTTACATCCTTTGCAAACAATTTCTGAGAACGGAATAACAATGACTATGTAGATTTGATTCTAATTAATTACCAGTGTAGATCTTTTCCTTTTTGCCACCTTCCCACAGGAGCCTTCACGGAATGACCTAGTAATAGTCAAAAACACAGAGTGAAAAATCTATACATCACGTACAAGAAATTAAACATGATTCCACAAAGTGAAACTTGTTTATACGTAGTCTCAAAGATTTACAAAGAAAGATCCGTAAACCACCTTACTTCGTTTCAATGTTTTGTGACGACATACTGTCGAACAGAGCTCAATCTAACTTAATAATTTTCACTCACCCAAATAACTTTCTCGGTGCTTGTCGAGTTTTACATCTTCCCAGTCAAACTGATCTTGTCCACCACGAACTCCGCCTCTTGATGGATGGTACATTGTGCTAGCGTTACGTTTTCGGGAGAAACTCGACGACTTGAGCAATTAATCTTTAGCCAAGAAGTTTGAAGACATCAAAGGTAAGGGAAGCTACTTGCCGCCATCTTGGTGGTATGCTTTAGTCCCCAGGTTACCTCGGGTATGAAAGGCAGGCATTGATGAGTTGGTTCCGCCATGAGTGAGCGCATGGGCTGAATAATTTCAGAGGAATTAGGATGGATAACTTCTAAGAAAGGAACAAATCTGGGTTTCTGGCTCTCATGCATTTCTTTTTTTAGAAATTAAAACTTTCGACAGAAAACAGTGGTTTGAAACAAATCTGTCTTTCTCTCTTTCACAGAGAAGAACTCTTTTAGTTTGAGCGAAATGCAAGATATTTGTGATTACGAAAACGAGTGCTAACATCAAGGGTACGCAAGAAAAAAAAAAAAAAAAATATATATATATATTAAAAGATAGACCAAAAATAAGCTTAGAATAATGTCAGGCTGCCATGATTTAATTTCAATCGGGCATTTTTGCTCATACTAAATTTAGAATTATCTTTTTCACTAACATTGTTCTTAACTTGCTGCATTGAGTTGTGCAAGAACGCACGTACACCCAGCCAGGATAAATCATTTCTAATTAACTTCTAGCCTCAATTCTAATTAGATTCGCAGCAGTTTATAGAAGTTGGGTTTCTGTACATTCGAAATTCTCTGAAACGTGCGTCGAATACAAAGTGCACTGATTCTACCATTCAGATTTTGTTTAGACTTGTTAATTAATCAAGGTGATGGCATTAGAGTTAAAGGAAGCGATTGAATGATACATGTGTTGGTTTTCCCAGGATTTTCTAGCACGTATTTTGGCTTCGTTCCTGACTATTACAGTTGAAGCGTGGCGTCGAATTTTCTTCAGTTCAAGCCAAATTTCACTTTCTGGAAAGATCGGTCAATTTTTGCTTTTCTTTGCGGGGAATGAGTCAGAAATGAAATAAAGAGAAAACAATGTAGTTGAGTGCCGGCACTGCCGGGCTTCAAGGCGGAGTACATTTGCTTTAGAAAATAGAAAATTCCGTAGGAAACGATGTGCACTTTTTGATGTCTAAGTGGTTTCATTCTGCACTACCTGCTAGCGGTATTTTCAATCACCCGCCAAGATCCACCTGCTCCGAAAAACTGCAGCGCGTCATTGGAGCAGACCGGTCAAATTTCCTTGCCAATATTTAATTTATCACACTCCTGGACTCATCGCAATATAGATAAGCGCCTGGAAAGCGTCCAATCAACGTGCTACTCTGATGCCATATATCACCTTCTTCTTAAAACACATTTACTATAGTTCGGTGTGATTTCACAAAGTATTACGTTTCATGTGCGCAAAAATTCTTCGTTCCTTCTGTCCAGCTTAGATACTTGATTCAGAGCCTAATGTAAAGTTGTGTTCGCACATTTCCTCGATAGCATAGCCATTATACATTGGATAATTACGCAGCTTCTAAGCCTTTCCATTTAAAACCTTTTTGCTTCTTTTGACAAAGTTGTTTTGTTAACCTACGTCAATAAATATTAAAAATAAAAAATCGGAATTTCACGTTCTTCTGATCTGAAGGCCGCGACAATAAAGAAGATCAGTCGGGCTTTATTGAAAAACGCGACACGATTGTGTCTAAGGCCATTACATGAGTAAATTTCCGCTATAAGTAGGATTTTCGGGAGACTTTTCGAGGTACAATTTTTTTCTTCTTTGGAATTGTGCGAAAGATGAATTTTCAAACAACCTTCCTGCGCAATCTATTTCCATCTATGACGGACTATTGACATGTTTTTAAGTGACTCTGACTTAATCTGTTTCGATTCTAGTTTCCCCATTATGTCTTACCTTAGGGGCGGAAATTTTATCGAACGATACATATGAAGTCTGGCCAAATCATCGCTGATTGGTTCTGTGTGGATGATTTGTACCCTAGAGGATATGTCATGGCTATATTAGTCCGGTTGCTATTGGTGACTGCTTGGTCATGTGGTTCTATGCCCGCGTAACATAAAAACAAATACGAAGCAAGTCACACAATCGATTCAAATTTGTGCGCTCGCCAATGCATTGCCACCTGCCCCATTCAGTTTTAAGACGTTCCTTGTAGCGCGCACGGCAGTCCAACGAGGAGGAAGATACCACGTATCTGTTTTCCCGTGGCTTGGCAGAATACACGCTTCATCCGTTGTTTTAACGATGGGAGCTACACTTTCCATTAATAGGAAAGATCTGCTTCACGAGTATTCCATATGGAATATGAAAGCTCGCGAGAGTGGCAAGTCCTACCATTGTAAGTGTTGTTATCATGTCAACAGCGACATTCACAGTAAAGAGAACAAGGTGCCTCAAACGACCTGCGATGCCGTTGCTGCATACCTCCACAAATGCGCCAATGTGGGCAAGAAGAAGATGAAATCGAAGATCGAACCAGCACCTTCTAAATCAAGCAAGATTAAGGAAACTGAAACTCAGAAATGCGATCCAGCTCCGCCGCTTCTCGCTCCAACCCAAGAGGTTAAGCTGCCAATCAAGACAACAGAGTCCAAGCAAGTTGTCAGCCAAGGTGTTGATATTCCTCTAGCGAATCCTAAACTACCGATTTCTCAGTCGTTTATGATCACTAGCGACGCTCTTCGCTGCTTGGGGAATTTCGTCCGCTGCCATTGTAAGAATCTAACGCGCTTCCGTGCATCGGAGGTAATTTTATGGCTACGAGGAGTTGACAGGGCGTTACTACTACAAGGCTGGCAAGATCAAGCTTTCTTGACACCACCCAATCTTGTGTTCTTATTTATGCTGCTTAAGGAAACTCTGTCGGATAAAATCCCGAATCCAGCCCAGTTACGTGCTGAAATTTTAACATGCCTGTACATGGCTTACACTTACAACGGCCCCGAAATAAGCTATCCTTTAAAACCTTTCCTTGTGGATGGAGACAGAAGAGCTTTCTGGGACCGGTGTATGGTTATAACAAACAACCTTAGCGAAAAAATGCTTCAAATGAACAGAGAGCCGAAATTTTTTGGCGAACTCTTGGTCGAACTGAAAAATTATGGTGGATCGTCTATAACTGACAGAAGAGATGGGTAAAAATAATACGCATTGCCATTTGCTTTCTGAAAATCAAATGGTCTCCTGCAGAAAAAAAATTAAGTTTAAATAATTTTCCCGACCAAAAAATGGACGAAGAATTTGGGCCGGCGCTCCAAGTAGAAAGAATATATTTCAATTTCTGAGGCTGCTTGCTAATTAACTATGCGCGTCGCTTTCATCAAAACTAAACTTCCTTCTGTTTTGGAATACTGCAGCTGATTTTATGGAGTTCATAACTTATTCAGCGTATCTTAGCATTGAAAAATTACAATAGCTCTGTAAACAACCCGTTTATTTTACAACTGGCATTTCGACCTTAGATGGATTTTATATTCTTTTTTGTTAATTTTTCCGGACAAATATGAAAGCTCGAAGTTGACAATCTTCACGGTCAAGGATAAAGAACTGGAAAATACATCTGCGGTTTTTGTCGCTTATAAATATGAAATGAAAGTCAAGCTTTGCCCGAAAAACGTGCTCGCGGTCTGAAATTTGGTGAGAAAGTTCCTTTTTTAGGAAAAAGAATTCCGTGCGTTGAAAAGCAGAATTTATGGCAAAAAATTGTCCATCAATCAAAATGTAAAATTCAGATTTTATTCAACACAAAAGAAAATGATCATTAAAATGTTTATTTATAACATAACATCTGTCCCTTGGGGTTTATGCTTTCAGAAGGTGCACTGATATGGTTTTCAAACAGATTTGAGAAACTCTTGATTCTAACAATATAAATGGTCTGAATCACTGTTTAGCTTCCTTCCATTACAGGTGCTAGTTATTAGGAAATTAATACACGTTTTAAGCTCGACGCTAACTCAGAAAAGGGCTGAATAGTCTAAGTGGGAAAAGATTCTCACATTGGTTACTTTTGCGCGAGATCTTGCCGTCCATTTCACCATTTTCTGGGCGTTAACACCATAAAGGAAATTCTTCCTTCGAAATCAAACGAAAAAGAGTTAAACTTTTCAAATCCAAAATCTAAACTTTAGGCGTGAAAAAATACCCGGTTTCCTCAGGAAATTACGAAATCCTTTCATTTTGACTACCTAATGTTTCGGCATTAGAAATTGAAACCCAAAGCATCTTTCCTGAGGAACCCCTTTTCTAGCATTAATTTCCTGCTCGCTTTCGTCTACGACTCGCGCACCGTCATCTTCAATGGAATTCGTGCGAAACAGTAATTTGAAATTGAAGAATAATATGCGTATTTATCAAGGATTTCTTCTCTTGCCGCCAGATTGTTCTCTTGTTTCGCACAGATGAAAAGCTTTACTAAGGTTGTATATTTAGCTAATGACACTACTTTCTATAGTCCGGCATCAACACTCAGTTTCCTTTAGGTCTTGTTCAAATCATCATAGCTATTATTAAAAAAAAAGCTTCGTAAATTTAATGCTTCCAGCAATTCGTGACAAAAGCGAATGTTAATTTCATTATTTCGCGGATTTTCAAGAACCTGTGTGGCTTTGCGGCGTTGAAATTCATGATAAAATGCCTTAGCAGTTTCCGGTCGTATTTCCTGGGCAAAAAGCGAAATTAGCGCAAGTTCTTGTTTCCTTCAGAAATAGCAGCAAAGTATATATCAAAGGATATCTTTAAATTTAATCTGCTGACTTTTCCAACAATCAATCAATGTTGAAGATGACAAGGCTTGTCGTCCAAAGCCAAACCATACACTCGGCCGGCTTTTTGTCCAAGTTCGGAGTACATTGAAATGAAAAAGTCTTTCTCAGCGCCGCACTCCTTTCAACTTGCATCAAATTTGTTTATGCTAAAGCGTTTAATATTTGGATTTGTTTTGGTATAGTCATTCTACCCTTCTGTTGCTTATAGCTAGGAACGCTTGTAAAATTAAAAAGTGGAAATTAAGCGAGCGTTTTTTATTTTCCAAATAAAAATACGAAAAGTGTGGGTAATAAAACTTAGTGAGAGCCTTTAGAACGTAATACAAACTCAATCTTTTAGATATGATTATGAACTAACAGTGTTTCAGTGTTTGTAAAATGGAGCACTAGATAAAAATTATCACTTTTTGATCACAACTGACAATGATCGATAAAAACCGTTCCGGAATCGTAAAACTAATTGAACTGCAAACTAAACACAACAACAACAACAACAACAGATTCTAAGCCTACATAACACCTTCGCCAAGAATTGTTGTCGAAACCGCCGAAAAAAAATAATAATAAAAATAAGAACAAAAAACCAAAATTAATTCTCTGTAAAATTTTTTTCTCGAAATGGTTTAACTATGCACCATAAAGATGATCTGTTCCAAAATGTGAGACATGAGCGACTTTTTCGAATGTTTATTGCACGTGGAATGGAATATATACAGTTCATGCTGTTTTTATTTGAATGTTAAATGCACATTGTGATTTGGAGTATTAGCTTTCGCTTCTAAAAATTCGGATGACATATCAAGACAGTGCAGTTCCATTTATAGAAGTGCTAGTTAAGTCTGAAATATTACCTGTTGGCAAATGCAAACAAAGAAAGAAGTTAACAGCTTGATTAAAAGGTATTTTTTCGTTATCATGCATTAGCCGGCAATCGGGGTACTTTTAAACCACAAGAATGCCTCTAAGAAATGTCTCTAAAAAAATAGCAGAAAGCAATTTCCTTGCGAAAATGGAGTCATTAGGCTGACTGAAAAATAAACATTTTCAAAAAAGCCCATTACTGAAATGGAAACTCATTGTTTTGCTCAGGTTTTTAATTGACAATGATGAAGGCTGAAAAAGCTTGATTGGGTAAAATACTTTTCGGAATTTAATAAAAATGAAAGAGCAATTACGTTAGAGGAAGACTTTTCGAATGAATGTTATATCCGCTGGCTTTAAAACCACAGCTTAAAAACAAGATATCAGGAGTCGTAATGCTTCATATTTTGAGTTTCGAAGGAACAAGCTAGGGCTTGGAAAATAAAACTGAATTCAACTTAGTTCAGTTTTAAATTTTTGTCTGAAAAATACGGATCTGGGTTTCTTTGAACAAGAAGAAAGTAAACAAACAATATTCACAGAGAATGTATGTAATGAACTTTTGATTTTAATAATTAAGAAGAGAAAATTTGAGATTAATTTTAACCTCTTTATGATAAAAAGTCATCCTTGTTGACACATATCATAAACAAAAATTAGAATCCCTCAGTGTTTATAGTTTTGGTATAAGAATCAAAAGTGGGTTTTTCAAGAAAAATGCCATTAAAAATAATTTGCGTCATATTTTTTTGAACGCACACCAGGAAAGCTTCGCAAAAGTTTGATATTAAGGTTATCAAAGGTCCCACTCAGACAAGCGTAATCTCAGCATGCATTATTTATCAACTAACGTCAGAGAAAACGAGTTTTTTTTTAGTGAGAGGAAATGATTTCCATTGAAAAACGCAGTTGCTGCCTAATTGTTCAATTGGATTAAAAATAATTTACATAAAATGTAATGACTGAGTATTTTGAAAAACGTAAATATTGCTCGATCTGGAAAATAATGTCGTTGATTTCGCGGATGAATTTAATATATTACGAAGAGAAAATGCTTCGTTTGGATGGAATCTTCGTGTACATTTTTCTTAGTTAAAGCAATCAAAAATTGAAGTGAGCTTTTCACTAGAGGGAAGCTACTATTCGGAATCAAGTGTAATTTGATGTGGAATCGAATCAAACCAAAAATAATAGAAAATATAAAAATTGGAAAAGAGAAAAACAATTGGCTTTCACATCAATTCAGTTGATTCTCAAACTCTCGAAGTCTTTCAAGCAAGCCACAAATAAAGTTTTGTAGATTTTCTTTACAATGTATTACCACTTCCACACAATCTATGATCAAAACGTTTTTCAAATTGATGAATGTCCTCCAAGGTCACCCAATGGAGTTACAGCAGTCCATCAACTGAAAATCCTCAAGACTGCGTCAACTTCCTTATCCGCAGGGGCCCATTCAACTGAAGGGTCATTGCGAAATGTAATCCTGCAGGACACTTAGATCTAAGAATCAGCACCCATTAAGAAGTGGTAAAATCACGATTTGCAATGAATATGACGCTATGATCACGTTTTCTGTAGACGTTCTTTCATTTTTAACATCCGATTTCGCTCTATCAACGTAACAAGATAAGCGGACAAAATTGGTGTCATCTCACATTTTCGCAGAATCCTAACATAACACTTAATTTTGGCACACTTAAAAGATCACCATAAAATGCAATAATTCTAAAATTTCGAGTCCTTTGCGAGATGTTTTTCGATCCCGAAAAACCTTCTCAGAGGTTGGAATTTCTGAACTTTTCAATATACCATATATCTGTTTCTTTACTAATTCAAATCTGATTCAGAGTGTTTCCGGACAAATAATTAAAGGCCGACGAGGCACATCAAAAGCGAAGATCATATAAAATTAAAAAGATAGATACTACCGAAAGGAAGTTACCAAGGAATAAAATGGTTTGTTGATTGACAATTGTGATCGGTGGATCGTGAAAGTTGCGTCTTAAGCGGTTTGATTGCATCACGTTTTCTCTGCATGATATAAAGATTCTGACAGGGTTTGAGTCAATAGGAGAAAGCCTTGCACAATTCATTAATTTTTCTGGCACTACCTCTTCGAAGTTCGCCTAAACACTCGCGCATATTCCCCCCACGCTGCTGTCCAAATTATTCTCGCTTAAAAAACATGCTGACAGAAATCAACATTTCCTTGGCGTAGAAAGACAACCACTGCGCAAATATTCAACCTATAAAGATCTTTCTCCATATATTTCTTGTCAAAAACAATCATCAGGATACTGAAAAGTTTGATTTTGTTGTTTATCTGAACGTTTTAAATGAAATCTGATTCCGCAAATTTTTCTTCTGCCGCTGGCTGTCCACACTTGTCGTGTATCAATGCAGTAAAAGTGTTTATTTGAATGTGGAAAGCGGAATTGTTCAAGTATTAATGATTTCACGGCCTCGGCTGGTGGATAAGATGTGTTCATGTCTAAACTACTTGCCAGG